AATAACTTATCTGAAGAATCTTCTCTTTCTTTCTTTCTTTCTCTTCTTTTTTTTTTTTTGGAATATAACTTGTAATTGATTTGTAAGATTGTTTCTAAATAAAACCTGATTTATTAATCTGTAAAACAGTTTATTCAAACAAATTAAATGTCATATAATCAAATAATATAAAATAATACAGAGATATAAATTAAAGAAAACATACCTGTAAAACAGTAATCAATTACAGGCTTATTCATACGAAACTCATAAATCAAATAAATTATAAAATATGTCAATCACGTGGTGCAGCACATTTATCGCAGCACATTTATCGAAGCACATTTATCGAAACCCAAACAAAGATCAAACATATAACAAAGATATTGAATATCATAGATATGAAATAAATACATAAATGTGGTTACATTTACATATATATATATATATATATATAAATTTTATTCTATCAATTAAAATCGTTTTTATTTGTCAATTTTGCGGTTATAATAAAACTTTATCTCACACAAATATAGTTTGCGCTTCAAAATACGAAGGAAACTTAAGAACATTCTGAAAATATCTCAAACAGAGATCAAAAACTCAAACATTCAAGACAAGAAGATTATAGATTAAAAAAGATACCAACCCAGTTCTCTACAATCATTTCCCTTTTTACCAGCTTGACACTTCTTCAAGCAGTCGATGAAGGGATTGGAGTTGTCCAGAGTGCAGTCGAGGTATGAAGAACGACCCATACGATATTCCAAACCCTGTCGAGCTGGAAAACAAAATTAAAAATAAATTTCTTATCATTCCGAAAATAATATTTATGATTTCGAATAAAAGTTTACTTGTGAATAATTGGAAAGGAAGATGTTTAATTCTGCTCAGTATTCGGTCATTATTGTTTTTGAAAAATTTGCATGGTTTAGATGTCAGTAAGCTCGCGTTTTGTATTTTCACACAAGAACAATTGAATTCCTTTTTGAAAGATAGTACTTCTTCAGTCTGAATCATAAATTTTTCAAAAAATATTCTTCAACTGAAATTTTTTTTCATAATTCAAAACGATACGGTTTGAACCAAATTTTGGTTATGTTTCTTGAAAATTCTGTTAAAAACTAACAGTATAAATTCATTAATAAAACCATGACATTAGTATTTTAGGAGATCGCTCAGAGAGAAAAAATACGTTGCTTGCTGTTCTAAATTAATAGAAATATTTCTGCCGCAATGGTCTAGTTCAAGCGCAGTCATCAAAATTTTAATATTCTGAAGTATTCCTTATTCATACTGAATTTGGTAGAGAAAGAAATAATAGATCAAAATTCAGACGCATACATAGTCGAAAAAAAGTTTTATACAGTATAGTAACAAAAAATCTAATCAGAAATAATGTCACAGGGTTGATGGAAACAAAATTGTGAATATTTTTTTCTGATTTGCACATCCCTACGCGCGTTTTGCGTGTTTTAAAATTGAGCGGTAAAAAATTTAAAATTGAAATTTTTAAACTTTAAACTAAAGTGCATCAGTTTTGAAAGTTATTTAATTTGTTATTACAATTCGTTGTTCACTATGGTTTGTTTATTGTTATTTTAATTTCCAAACAGCAAAATGTTGACTCAACATAATAAAACATCCAATCCACTAGTACATAACGCAATTGAAGTTAAAAGTATTGTAAAAAAATAGATAATTAATTCAATACTTGGTTACTTTTTAACAGCATGAATACGGAATGATTCTTCTCTTGGCAGAAGTGGGCACATCCCTCCCACGTGTTCTCATCCCAAAATGTTAAGGTATCCAAAATGGTGGGCACCGTATAGTACTGCCCGATGTATGCTGAGCAGAGCCGGTGGAACGATGCCTTCGTCGAATTATCTAGGGACGGTATTGTATCTTAGTTATGTGGGCGAACTGATCAATCAATCGATCGATCAATTAATCAATTAGTTTGTGAGGCGCTATATCCGCTGATGGCCTAATGGTTAAAGTGCCTGTGTGCTCTATTGCTGTGACCTGGTTCGAGTCTAATGATTGAGAGTAGTGCTAACAGTAGTAGCAGCAGCAGAAGTAATAGCTGTAACTGCAACAATAGTAGAAGAATTAACTAATTGAAAATTACTCAGCCAAGACCAGGTTAACCCACCTACATATACGGAATAGACATCATTCCCACCACAATCCTTGCCATCCCGGCATTTAAACTTGCAGTCGGATAACACAACTGCCTGGTCGGCTCTATAGATGCACTGACAGTCACCAGCTTTCTAACGTACAGAAAAGAACACATTCAGATTAACTAAAATTCAAATTGAAAAACTTAATTAAAATGAAATATTATGAAAAAGTAAAAATAAAATCATAAAACAACTGTGTGTAATATTATTGCTAGCAATATGAACAGATCAGCCAGTGTGTTTTTATCAATTAAAAAAGGTTTTCGCTTAATTTTTGAAAAATTTTTATCATTAATTTATTGGGTCTTTACTAAATTTAATCGAACCTGAGAAAAAAATTGCGAAAATAATGTAACGGTTTAAGTCTATTAACTTGTTGTCTGTTATGGAAAAAATAACAACAACATAAATTCAAAATATAAAAATTATTAATAAATATAATTTAAAATTTAGTATTTGTGAAAATTTACTTACAATTAGGGCAACGTACAGAGATTCATCTTTATTGCTACAGAAATGTTTGCACTTCTCAACGCTAATCACATGTGTTGTCATCTTATTTGACACAACAAACTTGTAACAGCCCACATAGTCATCATCTGCAAAGGTGTGCTTATTAACAGTTTCACGTTAAGCAAATCATTTTCGTTTGTTAGTTAGCGCGATTTTGATGGCCAATATTTGAATGGGGCGCATACAGGTGTGGAAAGGTACCCAAAGAGTGCTCTAATTATTTTTAAACTCAATATGGCTACTTGTTTTCCCACAAAAATTAGTTGGCGATTTTTTCATTTGTTTATTTGTCCTGAAACCTAGTGTAGGTGGCTACTACATCAACTCTATGGACATTGACTACATTTAGAATGTATAAACACATAAGGACAAATTCTCAACAGAAATATTTAATAGATATAATGTATGAACAAGTATATAATGCATGGTGGGCAAACTACGGCCCGCCAAGCCATTTTATGCGACACGCGAGGTCTTGCACGTGTTTGGAAAGAAGAGAAAAATTACATTATAAGCCAAAAAATAAGTCGTCAGTCGCAAATTTCAATATATTAAAAAATAAATCCCCTCTGATCATCGTTCGAAAATTTATATAATAAAGTTTGCCCACCTCTGATATAATGGATATGGATATTAAGTAATGACCATATGGAAGAAATACAACAGTTTATAAAGTTGGTACTTTGTGAGATAGGCACAACATAAAACATAATATATATTATAATGCACTCATGCTAGAATACCTTCTGGTGGCTCGAAGAAGACGACACACAAAAACTGTCCGGGCAGTAAAATAATCACAATCAAAGCCAGATTTCTTAAAGAAATTAATATATTTAAGAATGAATTGTTCATAGTTAAAGTAAATTTTGATATATTAATAATTAATATTTTATTGATATGATTTTATTTACATGAACCTATTATTTGTTGGAATAACGTCACGCATAACTCTCAATTTTCAATAAATATTTCACAGTTTTCAACGAATATTTCTGAAATTCATTACGTATTTTGACACTAAGTTTACCTTTCATAAATAAAATGGTTTAAAACAGTTATTAGGCACATAAATAGATAAATTTGACTAGAAATTTGTATGAAAAAAGCTGTTTATTTCAGTAAACGAACTTTATAACATGTTAGATAACTTCATATCGTCCATCTCTAATTTACCTGAACACACAATTTTATCTTTCTAACACAAAATCTCATGAGTTTTTATCATAAATTGCAACATTTATAGAAAGAAATTAATGGATTTTATTATAACTTTAACTTTATTCAAATTATTTTTTGTATCTTGTGAAAATTTCACGTTACTTCTTCAATAAATAGCAATTGAATTATTTATTTTAAAAACTAAAATTACATCCAATCACACCCCCTTGCATCCCATCAAAAATAAACTTCCGCCTAATTAAATGCTCCGAAACATTTTATTTATCATAAAATATTTCTAATTTAGTTTACTAAATCGTTTTTTTTTTGAGTATTCAATATTTAGTTAAATGTTGCCTTTAATTCTTTATACGATTTAAATGTTGCAGCTTTTTTTCGGATTTTTTCATTAAAAAACCAAAGCTACCTATAAAAAATAAATAAAAATAAAATCGTGACTGTGGCTTCAGTTACGTTGGTCACAACTTTTGCATATAAATGAAATAAACCACGAAGTTAACTAATTAAAAAAATTATAACGTTTTTTGGAATAATCAAACTCCCAACTGATTTCATACACGATGGCAGGTAACTCTGGTATGGAACATTTGATCCCCATAGTAAACAAACTCCAAGATGCTTTCGTCTCTCTTGGCATTCCTCTGGGGCTCGACCTCCCCCAGATTGCCGTCGTCGGTAGTCAGAGTGCAGGGAAGTCCAGTGTTTTGGAAAATTTTGTTGGCCGGTTAGGAATTTTTGTTTAATTCTTGTTAGAAGTGAAATAAAAATAAAATTATTATAAATTTTTGAAAATTTATATCATTTTTAACAATTTTCTGTTGAGTTGCTTTATATACTGATTTTTATTCATAATTTAGCACTTAAAATTAGTTAATAGAGAAATGTTTCTGAAACTCCATCTACTTACTACTTCTGTGCATACATTTATTAATTTATATTTAAAATTTTTTGAATTAATTTTTTTTGTTTTTAAACTTTTAGGATTTATTTTAATCTCTAAAAGTGAAAAAGAGATTTACTCTCCGTATGTTATGTATGGAGTGATTCAGGGTCTACGTGTGAGTGTGTATGTGCGTGTGTGTGTGTTGCAATTAAAGTGAATATTATTTTATTCATTAATTTTTATGATTTTAAACAATTTTGCAGGATATATATAAATTAAATATTTAATTAAAGAAATTAAAATAGAATTTAATTTCAATTAATTTATTCATATTAGAGATTTTCTTCCTCGTGGTTCGGGAATTGTTACCAGGCGCCCTCTGGTGCTACAGCTGGTGTTTTCCAAACAAGGTTCAACTAATTTCTACATTTATTTTTTATATATTTATTTATTTTTTTTTATATTATTTCTTCATTTCTACCATATTTACATTTATTTATGTTACATACACATACTTTCACATCTTATAATGACACACATACACACACACACACACATACATACACACACACATTACGTGTGACAGAATACGCAGAGTTCCTACACTGCAAAGGTAGAATTTTCAGTGATTTCGATCAAGTCAGGAAAGAAATTGAAGATGAGACCGATAGGGTAACTGGGAAAAACAAGGGTGTATCTAATATACCAATCAACTTAAGGGTCTACTCACCCCATGGTTTGTGAAAATTTTTTTTTGCTTTTTCATTAATTCATTCATTCATTCTATCAATCAATCATTCAATCGTCCATTCATTCAATCGTCCATTCATTCATCAATTCATCCATCTATCCGTTCATTTAATAATTGGAATTATTTTTTTTATAATTTTTTTATCATGTTCTTATCAACTCTTCAGTTGCTTAGTCACCTCATCCAAATATTATTTAAATACATCATGATGGTATTTCAACATTTGAAACATTTTTAAACTGCCTGTGCCTAGCTATGAATGTGTTAAACTGTTTATCTGACTTGAATTGAATAGATTTGATTTGAATTATCATGGTCATGTTAATAATTATTATTATTTATTGTTATGCGATGTCATTTGTGCCTGTCTGTCTGTGTGTGTGTGTTCTTTTTAGATACTCTAAATATATGTAATGTATACATGTATGTATGCATGCATGTATTTATGTATGTATGTATGCATGTTTGTATGTACGTACATATTATATACATACACTCTTGCAGTTCTCAACCTAACCTTAATCGATCTGCCGGGCATGACTAAGGTTCCTGTGGGCGATCAGCCCCCGGACATCGAGGTCCAGATCAGAAACATGCTACTGGAGTTCATCAGTAAGGAGAACTGCCTGATCCTTGCAATCTCCCCTGCCAATACTGACCTCGCCAATTCAGATGCATTGAAAATTGCTAAGGAGGTTGATCCACAAGGTAGGTCGGGATACTTTTGTATGGGGCCATTTTTCTCTTTTTGACGGTTATTTAATGTGATATATATATATATATATATATATATATATATATGTGTGTGTGTGTGTGTGTGTGTGTGTGTGTGTGTGTGTGTGTGTGTGTGTGTGTGTGTGTGTGTGTGTGTGTGTGTGTGTGTGTGTAAATTAATTTTTGATGGTTATTTAATGTGTGATGTTGACGATGATGATGATGTTGATGCACATCAACAAAATGTATATGATGATAATACTATGATAATGATGATAACCATAGTGGTGGTCATATGGTGATAATGTTGTGATAATGATGGTGGTAATTGAGTAAACCTTGGTGAACATATATATATTCATAACGAACTACAAACATATTAACACCAAACATTAGGTAGAATTTATAGAATATTGTAAAAATTATGGTCTATTACCAACATATATATATATATATATATATATATATATATATATATATATATATATATAGTTGGTGATAAGATATTTAATAAGGCAGCATGGTAACAGCTTCTTGCTAGTGAGAATTCAAGTGCATTGTCATTTGTCAGCACACTCACACACACAACACACACACTCACACACACCTACCTATGTGACTGTTATGCTCATCTGTTGATGTTTATAGATTTGTCATTTGAGATTGATTTTACTACTCTGTATAGTTGTAGTTGTTGTTCTTTTAAATTCATTTATATGGTTACTATTTTGTTGTTGTAGCTTGTCGTTTAAGATATTGATTGAGATACAAAGATTGTTTGTATGTTTATCTGTATGTTTGTATGTTTATTGGTATGTTTATTTGTATGTATATTTGTAGGTTTGTTTGTTTGTTTGTATGTTTATTTGTATGTATATTTGTATGTTTTTTTTTGTGTTTGTCGGTATGTATATTTGTATGTTTGTTTGTATGTCTATTTACGTTTGCTCATGTTCTTTTGTATGTTCATGCTTGTGTTTCTGCTATATTTAATAAAAATATCCGTTTTAAAAATTGTTCATGTGTTTTTTAATTTTGTCTTGCTGTGGGGTATAAATTATATTTGTAGTTGCCTGCTGCAGTTGCCTTGGGCCTTACTAGGTGTTTGTGCATATAGCATTTCAAGTGCTAATGAATACTAAAGATGTATGTGTTTAATTTTCAATGGCTCTGAATCTTTTTCAAAAAATTTCCATCTTTTTACAATTTTTCAAACAAGTTTTATTACATTTAAAATTTTTCTCCTCACGTACACACACATTCACACACACAAACAAACACACACACACACGCACATACACAGTCATCCATCTATACACGCCCATGTGTATGCCATTTATCTGCTGCACAGTATGTTTTCCAATGCACATACATTCACACAGCAGATCTAGTTCCTATTGGTTCATTCATTCCTTCTTTCATTCATATATCCATCCATTTGTTAATTCATACATTTGTTCATTCATTTATTCATTCATTCATACATTCATTCATTTATTCATTCATTCATTCATTCATTCATTCATTCATTCATTCATTCATTCATCCATTCTTTACCCACCCATCCATCTAGTTTCAATCCATAAATATTTTGAACTATCTAAAAAAAATTATTATTAAAGTATTCACATTTGTTTCTATATAAATAGTCTATATAAGCTTGTCTTCTAAATGTATAACATCTTTCTTTTTCTCTCTCTTTTTTTTTCTCTCTCTCTCTCTCTTTCTTTCTTTCTTTCTTTGATGATGATGATGATAAATATGATTATAGCATGTATGATTGATGATTAGCAACAGCAATAATAACAATACGATGATGATAATTTTCATCATCATGGTCGTCGTCATCATCATCATCTTCAATATCTTCAATATTAGTTACCATCTTTTTGCTTGTTGGGTGTTTGGACAGATAAACTCAACTATAATTAATGTAATTAATAATATAATTATAATAATATTATTATTATTGTTATTATTATTAATTGTATACCTAATTGTGGCTATGTGGTAATATCAATTATATCAATTATGATATTAATATATCCTGTATTTAAATGATGTGACGACGATGAAGATGATGAGGAAGAAGATGATGACGATGGGGATGACGATGATGATGATGAGGATGATGAGGAAGAAGATGATAATGAAGACAATAAGAAAGAAGAAAATGATGATGACGATGAAGAGGAAGAAGATGATGATGGTGAAGATGATGATGACGATGAGGAGTAAGACGATGTTGATGATGATGATGATGGTGAAGATGATGATGAACAAGGAAGATGACGATGACGGTGAAGATGATGACGACGATGTGGAAGAAGAAGATGAAGATGACGACGACGATGATGATGACAACGCATCTGTTTAAGTTTTTTCTATATTGTGCTAATTTATTAATCACCATGTTCTACATTGCTTCTCTTTATTTGATTCTTTTTAATAATACAAATAGGAATGACAATATTAATAATAATAAAAATAATAATTATAATAATAAGAACTGATGACTTGAACATACCTAAATGGCGATATATAATATTATAAATATAGTAATATATATATAAAATGTTTTCTATTGTTTTAAAAGATTTGTTTAAGTTATTTTTCTCTTCTGATTTTTTGTGTCTGACGAAATGTGTCAAATTTTATTATGTCTGTCTGTGTGTGTCCGTGTGTGTGTGTGTTTTGTCTTTTATTGGTTGTTATCTGCAGAATTGTTTGTGAATCATCCTAAGAAGGATTGATTATTTGTGTACTTTTTTGTGTGTTTATATATATATATATACACATTAAAGTCGGTATTTATTTATTTATGCGTGTGTGTATGTGTGTGTGTATTTTTGTGTATTTGTGTGTTTTTTCTGTGTGTCTATGCGTTTGTATTGTTTGTCCATGTTGTTTAAATTTTTCAAACGCATTTTTAGACTTGAGAAAATTGGTTTATAATGTCAGTGGCACAGTTTTTTTAGTTTGTATTTCCATGTATTGATTTTTTATTAATGCATGTTGTTTTTTGTGTGTATGTACGTGTGTTGTGTGTATTGTGTGTATGTGTGTGTGTGATATGTGTGTGTGCGTGCGTGCGTGTGTGTGAGAGTGTGTGTGCGTGCGTGTGTGTGTGTTTGTCTGTGTGTCGGTGTATCCAATCTTGTACGGTTGTGTGAATGCGTGTATTCGATTTGATTTTACTTATATAATTTGTGTTTTAGCAAGTTCTTCCATACTTGGATGAACCCTTCTGTTTTTTACATCTGAAATAAGAAGATGCATTTTAAATGCTTGGGATTGGAGATGTTATTAGTAGGTGTGTGTGTGTCTATCTGATATGTATCTGTGTGTGTTTGTGTGTGTGTGTGTCTATCTGATCTGTATCTGTGTGTGTTTGTGTTTGTGTGTGTGTTTGTGTCTGTCTGCGTTTGTTTGTGTCTGTGTGTGTTTGTGTCTGTCTGCGTTTGTTTGTGTCTGTGTGTGTTTTTGTCTGTATGTGTTTTTGTCTGTATGTGTTTTTGTCTGTATGTGTTTTTGTCTGTATGTGTTTTTGTCTGTGTGTGTTTGTGACTGTGTGTGTGTGTGAATAGAACTTTAATGAGGTAAGCACTTTGGCACATTTCAATCTCAATTTTATATTTACATTTTTATAGGATGGTATATAACATAACGTGCTATTGGTGTTGTTTTTCTTTCTAATATTGATGATATTTTTTTATTGTTATAGCTGTTGTTGTTGTTGTTGTTGTTGTTGATGGGATGATGTTGTTGATGTGATGATGTTGTTGTTGTGATGATGTTGTTGATGTGATGAGGTTTTTATTGCTATTTTCATTGTTACATCTTCAACTCTTTTTGTTTTATTAGCCCTATCAAGCTGTGATTGATTTTTATATCAAATGATGTTCTCTAATTATCTTAAAACCATACATTTTCTCAATCTTACTATTGCGTTGTTAATCATTTTGTCATCATCACATATATTATAAATGCAATGATGTCTTTAACTATGATAGCTGGCGCTATATAAGTTTTCTATTGATTGAGATTGAATGTCTCCAAGCCCGAATGTTATTCCAACTTTTTTTTTGTTTGTGTTATGTTCTGGTAAATAAAAAGTTTTTTTTAAATTTTTTTGATTGATTATAAATGCATATAGTCATTATCACCCTCCCTTATCTTCATCAGCGGCGTTATCATCAGCATCATTAATGTCTACGTGATCATTTTCATCATCTTATCATTTGTTAGGGCCAGGGTTTCTATTGTTTTTTATTTTAATTACAATCATCATTTTTTCGTCGTCTTCATCATCATTTAGCCACCAATCTAGTAGCGATTTGATTGTGGAAGTTTAATTTCTAGCTAACAGTGCATTACAATGTTGCATGGTTAATTTTGCCTGGCTTGTGTGAATGTTCTGATGTTTGGCCTTTGTTTGGTTAGGTATTAAATGGTTATAATATTATGATTTTTAAGTTTTGTATTATAAGGTCTTGTGTTGTTAGTGAAGATAGTCTGATCTATCTATGCGTGTTTGGTTTCTTGTGTGTTTATGTAATAAAGATGTGTGTGTGTTTGTGTGTTTGTTTGTGAGTGAGTGTGTGTGTGTGTGTCTGTGTGTGCGTCTGTGTAAGTTCTTCTATATTTCTACAACAACACGTTCTTCTTTTATATGTTGAACTTTATGACAGCACTTAAAATTCTCTCTCCTCTACTTTCAATTTTTCAATATGTTTATGGACCTTTAATTTGAGCATAATTCATGAAATATTTATTAATTAATTTATTTATTTGTTAATTTATTTATTTATTATATGTAGTTTTCGGTTATTATAACGGGTGTTAAGCTGTAATAGATCTAGTTCTGAAGTTTTCCCATATCTCAAATTAAGTTTATCTTTAGTCTTTCTTAATGTCATGTCAGTTCATGTATGTGCTTATTAATCTACTACAAACCACTTTTAAAAAGTTTGCCATCCATATTATTATTATATTATTATTATTGAAAGCTCTAAATTTAAATGAAATGGATACAACTGATGTCTAATTTGGCGCAAAAAGTTGATGGCAAAGAAAACAACGTCCTACCTCGGAAAACCTCCGGGTCTCTGGACGCAAAACGAAGATTGATTGATTGATTGGTTGATTATTATTATTATTATCAATTACTATTATTACATATTGTATTACCATCTCGTCTAGCTTGATTTCAACTGTCTAATCCACTGCTACTTTGCTTATATACACAAAGTCAAATGATTTTTGATTGATTGAAGAATGTTCTAGTATTTTTTTTAAATTTCCTTTTTGGACATATATAGTGTATAATCTATCTCTTTTCCTATTGAATCCAAATATATCTGCAGCCATAAATACAAATACACTCACACACACATAACACACACACGCACGCACCACACACACACCACACACTAACACATACTAACACACACAGAGAAAGACACAGCGAGAGAGAGAGAAAGAGAGAGAGAGAGAACATGAGAACATATGTGATTAGGCAATTAGGCTCTTTTAATCATTAAACCATCTTACTACTTTTACTACACAACTTCATCCTATAATTCAATGTTCATGAAATGGCATATAAATATTCATAAAATCTATTTATAAACACATATATATATATATAGTCTAATGAATATTTATAAATTAAATTCGATGTAGGCTTGAGAACAATTGGCGTCATCACAAAACTGGACCTCATGGACGAGGGCACAGATGCCAAGGACATTCTGGAAAATAAGCTCCTCCCACTTAGAAGAGGTCAGCCAATCCCGTTTATTCTGACGAGATTCAACAATGATCCTCACAAACAGCATCTAATGCAATAACAAAATCTCAACTGCCATCCAAGCTAACTCAATAGCAACAACCACAGTAGCAACATAAGTCAGAATCAAATGAAGCAATAGCACATACAAACAGTTTACGTGAAGTTAACTGCCGCACCAACCACACATAGCGTTTTCACCTATGTATAATAACAATGTAGACCAATATACATAGGAAAGCACATGCATAGCAACTAGAAATTCACGTGCAAACAAACAAACACGTTCTTACACGCACACACACAGGATACATAGGCATTGTGAACAGGAGTCAGAAAGACATAGACGGAAGGAAGGATATCAGGTCAGCCATGGCAGCTGAAAGAAAATTTTTCCTCAGCCATCCAGCATACAGGTTTGTGTGCGTGTGTTTTTTTTTGAGGTGTGCGTCGTCTTCTGGTGTGTTACACTTTTTTGTGGTGTGTTTGCTGTGGTGTTATCCGTGTATAAATTTAGTACTGTTTGCATATCTAGTTTAATTTTTCGGGTTTGTTTATGGTGCCCCATGTTGCAGTCTATGTTTCTTACAACTGCATTCTCATCTAGTGTTTGGCGAAACAACCTTTTAACGAACACATTTCAAACCCAGCTAATCACACTTGCAACAACATACAACACATCGCACTACTCCCAGGGCGTAACATACGCACTCACACACGCACGTACACACAAACGCACGTACTCATAAACGCATGTACACACACACGCACACGTTTACAGACACATGGCAGATCGCATGGGATCAAACTACCTGCAGAAAGTGCTGAACCAGCAACTGACCAATCACATTCGAGCCACCCTACCCTCACTCAGGAATAAACTACAATCACAATTAATATCCATGGAGAAAGAGGTGTGTGCGTGTATGCGTGTGTATGCGTTTGTTCATTTGTGTGTGTGTGTGTGTATGTTTGTTTCTCTGTATTTCTGTTTGTGTGTGTATTTAACGATCTTTTCATGCCTTTTTCACATTTTAAATGAATATTTTCTTACTAGAACTAGTATTTTGTGCACGAATTGGTCAAATTTTTACTGTTGAAGGCTGCAACAATTTAGCATCAACTCTAACAAGTACCTACTCATTGTGGGTGGCTTTGCCCCAGGTACACTCCACGCCCTTGGCTGACCCATGAAATAACCCCCAGACATTCAATTAAATATGCGCATAGAGATACATTAATTCTTCAGTAAAACTGAAATTGTTGGCTTTTATTTTCTGAGTTGGTTTGTGCTTGTATAAAGGCATACTTGAAAGCCATTATTCAGTCTGGTTGCCAGTTAGATTTCAGTTCCTTCGTAGTTGGCTCTATCTAATGTGTCTATGTGTTTGTGTGTGGTTTTGTTAGTTTGCCTGTAGTTTTTTAGTTTTCATTAGTCTATGTGTTTATATGCGGGTTTTTCATGTTTCTTTGTATGTATGTATGTATGTGTGTGTGTATGCATTTATGTATTTATCTATGTACGTATGTACGTACGTATGCATATATGATGATTGTTAAGCTCTTAATTATTATGATGGTGATTAGGATGATGAAGATGATGATGATAACGACGATGATGATGATGGTAATGATGACTGTATTGAAGATGATGATGGTAATGATTATGAAAATAAATAGGTAGAAGAGTACAAAAACTTTCGACCTGATGATCCAACAAGGAAGACCAAGGCCCTCATGCAGTTTGTACCCCTTCGTTCTTTTATTCATTCATTCACTCATTCATTCACTCACTTATTCATTCACTCATTCATTCACTCAATTCTCATTCATTCTCTCTATCTAATTATCTAATTCATCAGTCCGCTCATTCATTCGTTCATTTATTTTCATTCTCATTCATTCTTCTAATCACTCGTTTTTCAACTTTTCGAACTTTTCGGTCACTCGGTCACTGCATGCACTGCAAAACAACACCGAGCGACCTGAACCACTGGGCCATCACTTTTGTTTCTTTATATTTCTGTAGTTTTTTTTTATTAAACACATGCTGTTAGTTTTAAGTAAATGTTGTCAATAAGCTCGCTAGCAAATTGTATTGTATCAATTAGCATTGTATCAATTATCATCTGATGTTTTTCCTGTACTTCGTTCATTCTATATGTTCAATAATTCAAGTGTTTTTTTTTATTTCAGTCGCCATGTGACAATTATGCAGCACAACGTTTTAATAATAATGTTTAACTCTCACTTTTGTTATCATTCTCACATTCATTGCTCTCCAGTTATTTATCTCTTTTTCTCTCTCTTCTCTCTCTCCTTCTCTCTATCTCTCTCTCTCTATCTTTCTGTCTTTTTCTCCAATTGTTTATTGATTTGTTGAATTTATTTACATTTTACTCAATAATCTATTCATACCAGATTGATAAACACTTTCAACTTTGACCTTGAGAAGTCGATCGAGGGTTCGGGGTCGGAGGTCAACGTTCATGAACTTTCTGGTGGTGCAAAGATCAACAAAATATTCCACGAGAGATTTCCGTATGAGATTGTACAGGTCTGTGTGTGCTTGTGCGTGTGTGCGTGCGTATCTGTTTGTGTGTATGTGTTTGTGTGAGTGTGTGGTTGTCTATGCGTGTGTGTGTGTGTGTGTGTTTGCGTGTGTGTATGCGTGATTGGTTGGTTGATTGGTTGATTTGTTCACTTTTTCTTTTCTTTTATTTGTTCATTCTTTTATTCATTCATTCATTCATTCAACTTTTCCATTCATAATTTACTTGCTTTTACTAATGAATTATTCCTATACGAAATTGTCCTTCATTGGCTGGTTGACTGACTGATTGACTGACTGACTGATTGACTGACTGATTGACTGACTGACTGATTGAATGTAGCCACAGAAAGCACCTTCAAATTTAGCTGTAGTGCTATATAAATGATTTTCATTATTATTATTATTATTATTACTATTATTACTATTTCATCGTCCCTTTTTAAGTTCTCTTCATTCACTTTGTTTGTTTGATCTTATGAGATGATGCTTAGAAATTTGAAAAAACAAATTCACTGATTTATGTATATTGCAATCAGTCTGAGAAATCTACCATACAAGGGAAACAACAACAACAACAACAACAATAATAATTATAATAATAATAATAATAAAATAGTCTTAAATTTTATTTAACTATAAAATATGGATGTATAATCATTCAAATAATGAAGATATTAATTGTTATTGACATGATTAAAAAATTCTGTTTTTTATAAAAAAAAAGTTTCCAAGTTATAAAAAAATTATTATTTTATTTATATATAATTATCTGACGATAATTTTCTGTAATAATAATTATAATAATAATAATAATAATAATAATGATAATAAATAATTAGAATAATTAAAATAATAAAACATCATGTCTTCTTATATGAATGCAGATTGAATACGATGAGAAGGAACTAAGAAAAGAAATAACCTATGCCATTAAAAATATACATGGTATAAGGTAGGTTGGTTGACGTGTTGATTGATTGACTGGCTGGTCGATTGATTGGTTGATTGATTGGTTGATTGATTGATTGATTGGTTGATTGGTTGGTTTGATTGATTGATTGATTGATTGATTGATTGATTGATTGGTTGGTCGATTGATTGATTGATTGATTGATTGGTTGGTCGATTGATTGATTGGTTGGTCGATTGATTGATTGATTGATTGATTGATTGATTGATTGATTGATTGATTGATTGATTGATTGATTGATTGATTGATTGATTGATTGATTGATTGATTGATTGATTGATTGATTGATCGATTGATTGGTTGATCGATTGATTGGTTGATCGATTGATTGGTTGATCGATTGATTGATTCCTTGATTCCTTAAAACTATTTATTTCATATCTCTTTATCTCTCTCTCTCTCTTTCTCTCTCTTTTTCTTTCTCTTTCTCTCCCTTTTTCCTTTTCTCACTTTCTCCCTTCTCTCTTTCCTCATTCAATCCTCCTCACTCCTTGCACTTGTCTGACGAATCAGGACAGGTCTATTCACTCCAGACATGGCGTTCGAGGCCATAGTGAAGAAGCAGATCGACAGGCTGAGGGAGCCGTGCATCCGATGCGTCGACATGGTCGTCACTGAGTTGAGTGCTGTCGTCCACAAGTGCACCGAGAAGGTTTGGTGGTGGTGATGGTGGTTGTGTGGATGGCTGTGTGGGTTGTGTGGAGGGCTGTGTGGGTGGTGTGGATGGCTGTGTGGGTGTTGGTGATGATGATGGTTGTGTGGATGGCTGTGTGGGTGTTGGTGGTGATGATGGTTGTGTGGATGGCTGTGTGGGTGTTGGTGGTGATGGTGGTTGTGTAGATGACTGTGTGGGTGTTGTTGGTGTGGATGGCCAGTAATTATAGTTAATCAATTAATTGTTTAATGAATCGTTTTTTCAGTATTGTTATTGTTTTTTTAATATAATTATTTGTTAACTGGTAATTATGGTTAATCAATTAATTGATTAATTGATTAATTTATTTATTTATCTATTTATTATAGATGAACCGTTATCCGCACCTACGCGAGGAGTGTGAACGAATTGTGAACACGAAATTAAAGGAGGATGAACAAAGGACGAAAGACCAACTTGTTCTCATGGTCGAGGTGCAACTTGCTTACATGAACACTAATCATGAAGATTTCATTGGGTTTGCCAAGTTAGTTGGTTGGTTGGTCGGTTGGTCGGTCGGTCGGTCGGTCGGTTGGTTGGTTGGTTGATTGGTTGGTTGTTTGGTTTATTTGAAGGTTGGTTGGTTGATTGGTCATTTGGTTGGTTTGTTGGTTGGCTGGTTGGTTAATTAGTTTTTTGAATCATCATTTTTATCCTTTGTTACGTCATGTTACTAAATTTAGATTAAAAATGATGAAATGATTTTTTTGCCAGTGCTCAGCAGAGATCAGAAGTCGTCAAGAAGAAAACAACAAATCAGGTTTTATTCTTTTCTCCATTGATTATTGTTCTCAATTCCATTATATTATTGACTATTAAATTTGTTATTGTTGTTGTTGTTGTTGTTGTTACTGTTGTTGGGATTTTCTATATTTTTTATGATCATTATTTATTTTGCTGTTTCTCCTCTCAGTACTTTTTCGATCTTTCACACATGACGTGTGTGTGTTTGTGTGTGTGTGAATGTGTCTATCGGATTTTTTTCATAATCATCGCCCACCACAAACAGGTGATCCGCAAGGGTTGGTTGGCCCTACACAACATCAGCATGTTCAAGGGTGGCCATAAGGAGTTCTGGTTCGTTCTGACCGCTGAAAATTTTTCCTGGTACAAAGATGATGAGGTGAGTGTCGTGTTGTTGTCGGCCTGTTCATTTAGTCACTCACTCACTCGTTCATTTATTCATTCATTCATTCATTCGTTCGTTCATTCATTCATTCATGCATTCATTCATTCATTCTTTCATTCATTCATTCATGCCTGTTTGTTTTATTCATTTATTTGTTTAATTGTTCATTTATTAATTTATACATGTTATTTCTAGTTTTTTTTTCTTTAAAATAAATTGTTTTGTTTGTTTCATATATATATATTTTCATTTTGTTTATTTATTTGCCCTTGGGCTTTAATTCATCCATTCACCAATCTATTAATTCATCTACCTACTCAGTCTATCAATCAATTCATCCATTCATCCATCTTTCCATCTATCCAGGAGAAAGAAAAGAAATACATGCTGCAGTTGGATAACTTGAAGGTTAAGGACTGTGAGAGTGGCTTTATGAGTAGGAAGATCATCTTTGCGCTGTTCAATACTGAAGGAAGGTTTGTGTGTGCGTGTGTGTGTTTCTGTGTGTGTGCGTGCATGTGTGTGCGTGTTTATTTGTGCCTGTTGTTCAGTTTTCAGTTTGATCATAAATGATGAAAAATATGATGATCTTCTAATGATAATACATACATAAGTACATACTTTACATACAGGCAGATACATACACACATAAACACACACACACAAATACACTTATACACACACACCCACACAAACACACACACACACACGCACAAACAAATACACACACACTCGCACAGAAACGTTTACAAGGAGTACAAGCAGCTGGAGCTGTCAGCTGATAACCAAGACGAAGTTGACAGCTGGAAAGCATCTTTCCTCAGGGCGGGTGTCTATCCAGAGAGGAACCAAAAAGATATTGATGATGTTCGTAATGGAAGTGATGATGTTTATGGTGATGATGTGAAAGTGGTGATGATGTTTGAGTGTGTGTGTGTGTGTGTGTGTGTGTGTGTGTGTGTGTGTGTGTGTGTGTACGTTGTGGCTATTCGGGGGATAGGATGACGTGCTGGCAACTTTGTTGTTGCTGTTGTTGAATATACTGGTCATTGTTAGTTGGTCATTGTTAATCTAAATGGTCAGACAACTACAGCATTCACTTCAACACTCATTATGATAATTGTAGATGACACAACGTCACAAATACAACTACTACAATTACCACAACTACCACAACTACAACTACCACCACAATTACAACTACCACAATTACCACAACTGTCACTACTACCACAACCACAAATACAACTACCACAATTACCACAACTGCCACTACCACCAGAAATACAACTACCACAATTACCACAACTACCACAACTGCCACTACCACCAAAAATACAACTACCACAATTACCACAACTGTCACTACTGCCACAATTACAAATACAACTACCACAATTACCACAACTACCACAACAACAGACTAAAGAAGACCTAGGGAAATCGGATCCTCAATTAGAGAGGCAAGTTGAAACTATTAGATCGCTGGTGGCTTCATACCTAAGCATCGTCAACAAGATGACTAAAGATCTGGTCCCCAAGACTATCATGTTCATGCTTATTAAGAAAGTATGTGTGTGTGTTTGTGTGTGTGTGCGTCTGTGTGTTTGTGTGTGTTAGTATGTGTGTGTTTATGTTCATTGATTCATTCTATCAATCATTCCAGTTGAAGGAATTCTGTGTGTGTGTGTTAGTATGTGTGTGTTTATGTTCATTGATTCATTCTATCAATCATTCCAGTTGAAGGAATTCTTGGGCACTGAGCTGTTGGCCCATCTGTATTCATCCGGCGATCAGGTATGTCCATATGTGTGTATGTGTGTGTGTGTGTGTGTGTTTTTATGTCTGTTTGCGTATTTGTATGTATTATGTGTATGTCTTTGTATTTGTGTGTGTGTGTGAATATTTGAATTTATGAATACATAAATCATTGAATAAATAAACGGATGAATGGATAAAATTTATATCCAATATAATATAGATAAAATTTGTATGTAACAAACCATACAACATCAACTGCAATTACCCTATCTACCACAACGACCACAGCCGCCACAACGACCACATCCAACACAACCACCACATCCACCACAACCGCCACAACCACAGGCTCAGTTGATGGAGGAGTCTGCCGACGAGGCACACCACAGGGAGGAGATCCTACGCATGTACCACGCCACAAAGGACGCCCTCAACATCATCGGTGACGTCACCTCATCTACCGTCGCTACCCCCGTGCCACCGCCTGTCAACGACGAGTGGCTCGCTTCTAGTGGCGCTGGTAACAGCAGTAGTAGTAGCAGCAGTTATGGTGGTAGCGGTGGTGGCAGTTATGGTGGCCATGCGTCGTCAAGAGGCTCCCACAATCAGCAGTTCGGTGGAGGTGGGATGACGAATTCTGTTTATAATGGGTGAGTTCAAACGATGATGACGACGGTTGTTGTAGTTGGTCAGAGTGAAGATGATTTTGCTCGTGTAATGATGGTTTTGAAGATGGTAATTGTTTTCAACGTCACGCACACACACACGCACACACATACACGCAAACATACATACATACATACCACAGACTGTCGTCATCAGCCACGACTCTTCCAGCGCGCCCTGCACCGGTTGCTCCCAACAAACCATCACTTCCAGGTCGGGCTGGCCCCAGTCCCGTCATGGGGAATTCCCAAACCGTACCCGGAAACCTCCCGCCACCTTTGATTCCAACGTTAGTTTGTGTGTGTGTGCGTGTGTGAGTTTGTGTGTGTGTGTGTTTGTGTGTGCGTGCGTGTGTGTGTGTGCGTGTGAGTGCGCTGGCATTTTCTTTTGCGGTTATATATCATTTTTATTTTTCAATTCATTTACTCATTAACTCATTGACTCTGTCTATCTTTCCATAGGTTCATCTATTCATCAATCTATCCATCTACCTGTCTATTATTCTTTATTTATTTGTTTGTATGTATGTCTATCTGTCTGTCTGTTTGTTTATCTATCTTTGATAAATTGGTAGGTCAATTTATCCTTTCACTTATTCGCCTACTTATTCATTCATTCATTCATTCGTTCATTCATTCATTCAACCATTCATTCAACCATTCATTCATTCATTCATCCATTAACATTACTCATTCACTCATTCATTCATTCACTCTTTCATTCATTTATTCATTCAACCACAGACGCCCTGGAAGCAGCGCCATGCCACCGAGAATTCCAGACAGACCGTCTGTTCCTAAATAGTTTTTATATTACTACAAAAAAAACTATAATAAAATTGACATTATTATTATTATTATTATTATTATTATTATTTATTAATTATTATTATTTGTATTAATTATTATTTTTATTATCATTATTATATGAAGAATATTATTATCTATAGCATCACATATAATAGTCCAAATTTCGCTAGTTTCCAAATTTCCAAATGAAAATTTACACATTTGTCTATACGCTCTTTCTATCATCATCATTATTATTATTATTCTTTTTATTATTTTTGTTATTATTAGTATTTTTATTATTATTATTGTTGTTGTACATCACACCATAGCTGCTGCAGTTCACATTTATCACTTTGGTCGCGCGCATTACGATTGAGGTCTGCTAATTATTCTTTTTATTATGACGACTATAATTAATATAATAATAATAAATATTATTATTATTATAATTATATATTTATACTTTAATTAATATAATAATAATATTAATTATTATTATTATTATTTATTATAATGTACGATAATTATGAACTATGCCCATTATCAGCTCTAACTTGTACATACATACAATCACACATATATTTATCATTAACATTTTTTGATTGTTCATTAATTAATTATTATTATTATTAAATATTGTCATTTTCATTATTATTATTGTTATTTATTTGTATTATTATTGTTAATTTTATTTTATTCTTATTGTTAATGTAATTATTTTGCGGATCAATTATTATTATTGTAATAGATGCCACTATTCTTATTAGTAATGTACATGCATATACACATATATACACGTATGTGCAAATACACACACACGCATGCACACACACAGACACACACACACAAACTGATTAATTTTTCTTATACAAACATGCTTATATTCAGGCATATATGCTATAGATACTGTCAACATATAGCTTATTATCATATTATGAAATATGTAATTCATCAATTTTGCGCGTGTGACTTTTGTAATTTCGTGTGTGTAAACATGGATGTGTGTGTGTATGTGTGTGTGTGTGTTGTGTGTATGTGTGTGTGTGTATGTGTGTGTGAAAGTGTGCATGTGTGTGCATGTGTGTGTGAGCACGTTTAGTGTTATCATGTTACTATAAATAAGGACAGTAAAATTAATGTTAGAACCTTATTGTAATGTTGATTGATTAATCATACATTAGTTTACTTCATTCAGTTTATTATAAAATTTGATTTATGATTAAAATAATTGATTAATTTATTTATTTATAATTATTACTCCTCTATCCTTCACTCACTCGTTCGAACTACTCCCCACTTGACGAATAGCTTTTATCAATAAAACTATTTTTATTTGAACTATTAGACCATTTCGTTTATGCAATTTTAGTTTAGGAATTGAACTATAGCACTTGAACTTAACCTTGACCTGAAAATCATTTGCTAAACTATATGCATGACGTCATTATCGCCCTTCCTTTCCAGTAAAATTTATAATGAGAGGAATGTGTTCGGATAATGTGATTCAAGGTTTCAGTCTAAAATTCAGTGGTGTTGTTTCTCTTCATTAGATTTTTTTAAATTCACAATTGGTTATTATCATTATTAGGCAACAGACACGAGATACGTGGGTGTGTATGCGACTACTCTTTTATTGGTACTGTTTTGTGATTGTTGTGTTACGTAAATATGTTGTTCTAGCTGCCGTTGTTAATGTAACGTTGTTATTATTATAAACATTTTTTTTTCAAAAGCGCTCCCAAAACTAAATATAAATATTGTAAATTGGGACGCAATGGGTCCAAATCACGTTTGCTGCTTGCACATGTTGCGGTTAAATGTCTATCTACTTACTAATTCCCGTATTATCCGGTTCTGGACTGTCTCTTTTTGGTAAACTTTTATCAGAATACTTAACATCGACACATTTAGCAAGATGGGAAATGGCAAACTCAGTGGTATTTTTATTTATTTTTTTTATGGGAATAGTCAATAATGTGAAACGATTCGTTGGTAGCTGAAATACACATCCTCAGGCGAAAGAGTATAACACGGGGTACATGATGTGTCAGAAAATTACTGGTCAAAATAGAGCAAGATAACAGAATTAGCAAGATTCCGTGACCAGAAACTAGCTTCTTCATTCAAATGAACGGCTTAGCTAGACCAGAAGATACAAAAATAGACGAAACGATGTTGCCAGATGGTTGGGAGTCGTCAGATTGAGATTTCTTTCACCCGTTTTCTGAAGGTAAATAGGGGTTTCACCTTTTATTTTGAAAGAAGAGGCTTCACCCTTTTTGGAAAATAGGGATTTCACTCTCTTGGACGGTATGGATTTCACCTTTTTTAAAGGTATGGCAGCAGGAAAGAGCCGCACTATTGATCACCCTCAAATAATCTTGTTGGTTTCAACGCCACGTGTTTCCACATTATATATACCAACTACAACAACCATCGTCATCATCATTTGAACTCGCCCATTATATATATATATATATATATGTATCACATTTTATCGTGCTACCGTTCCAATCAGTTTTTGGTTTAAGTTTTGTTTTCACTTGTGTTCATTTATTTATTTTTGTTTTTTCTATTGTGCTCATTATATATATCGTCCAATTAGTTGATTAAATATATTAATTACTTTATATATTTACTAATTTTTCAAGTTTTTTTCTTCAAGTAATAATCATTATTTAATTTATTATTATTGAAAAAAAATGCTATTTTTCTTTGTACTTAGTTTTGAGCTGTTCACTTCACGCACAAATTATTTTGTTCAGAAAAATGTTCATCTTATAGCGGATCAATTATTATATTTATTCATTTATTCAATAATTTTATTTTTCCCTTATTCATTCACGCATTCATTCATTCATTCATTCATTCGTCCATTCATTCATTCATTTTTTATATTTATTCCATTCATTATGCATTATGCCTCCTTTGACTAATTCAGTTTTTTACGATACATTAATAAAAGTTATTTGATAGCAGCTAAATGCAATTATATTTTATAATGGAAATAATTATTTTATATTATTATCTATATTTTATTATTGTGGTTATTGTTATGTGTTTAATTGTTATTATTATTATTACTATTTGTTGTTATTATTATCATTACACTTTTATTATTATTAATTTCTTTTGATTCCAAAATTTGTGTTTGGTTTATTTTTAATTTGTCCCTTTTCAATCTACCCAATGACATATTCGTTCATTCGTTCTTTAATTCATTCATTTATTCATTCAATCCTTCGATCTTTCATTCAATTATTCATTCATTTATTCATTCATTTATTTTTTATCATCTAAATATGCAAATTATATTTATTTTGTACAGATTATATATATATATATATATATATATATATATATATATGAGATTTCCGAACTTATGGGTGATTCAATTATACTTATATATAATTATATATTCTGGCCTATCCTGATATCTATATATATATATATATAACTATCTTGAAATATATATATATATATATATATATATATATATATATATATAATATCTTGATCCATCTGCGCTTGATTTGTATGTAATATAATTTATTTTTATTTTTGTCTAAATAATTGAATTATCATTTTGCTATTGTATTGTCATACCATATTTTTCTATTTCTAGTGTTATTAATAGCATCATTGTCATAGTTATGTATATTATTATTATTCCTCTTATCACATAATATTAATGTTAATAATAATAATAGTGTAAAAATATTTGTATGGCTTAATTAGGCCTTTATTGTAATTGTTTTTCATAATTTTTTTCATTTTCTAGTAGATAATTTTATTTATTTATTTTTATTTGTGCGTAAATTAGAAATACATGGTACTTTTAACTTTGTAAATTTTTAATTATGTTTCCTTAGTGAAGTAAGCTAAGAAATGTTTCGGCGTTAAACGTTTCAAATTTAGTTAATGTTGGAAATGGAATTCATCATACTGCACGCAGTGCGAAACGTTCGATATTCCTTATAACATATGTTTGGGAATTTCATGGTATTCTAGTTCATTATGACAGATTTTTGCGAAACGATGTTAAATAGCTGTTTATAATGACCCGTTGTGAGTCTATAATGGTCCATTATTAGTCTATAATGGTCCGTTATTTGTCTAAAATGGTCCGTAATATCAGGAATATGCTGTTACTCACATCTTCTTCTTTTTTCTTGCGCCTTATCCTTTCAGGACATTGGCGGCCATCGACCTTCACAAAACCCGTTAAACACTAAGAGTTGAAATGTGGTGATATTCAATAAGTGATACTGGGACTTCACGACTTCACCGCGATCACTTCCCTGCTATCTTTCCAGTAGTTATTAAATTTTCCATTCTTTGCTTCCGCATGATGTGACTAAAAAACTTTAACTGCCCCGTCGGGTTATCTGTAGTAATTTCCTCTTTTCATAACCGGACTATTTTAATACATTTTCATTCGAAGTATGAGAGGTCCAAATAATTTTCACAATTCTTTTCAAAAACCAAATATCAGCAGCGTTAATCGTTTTTCCCATTTTTTTGTTAGAAATTGTCCAGGACTCAGAGCCGTAAGTTAGCACAGGAAAAATGTAACACCCTAACAGTTTTAATTTTGTTGATATTCTGATTTTACTGTTGATGTTGAAGTTTTTCATTTTAGAATATGCATCTTTCCCCACTGCTATCCTTCTTTTGATACCCATGTCACATTTACAAACTGATGTTGCTCACATACGTAAACTATAATTGATGTTATAAAGTTGGATGTCATGAAATTAAAATTTATTAAGTATAGGTCACCAAGTCAGCACAGTCGGTTGAAGTGCCATGTCTCGAGGTGCTATTATGTACAGTCTTTCCTAAACTTAAGGACCATCATACGCGTAAGGTACTAAAGGTACTAGCGCTTGCATGCGAAATGTGCATGTGCGTCGTACGGTGTTGACTTTGTACATCCTTTGTTCCACGATGGTTTAATTTTAAAGAATAACGTGTAAGCAGCTCTGCGTTTTATAGAACTTGTACTATAAAGAATAAAGATGATAATGAAAGTGTCAAATTCATTCAGCTGTTTTTTATATCTTTGATTACAGTATATATATATATAACGCCTATGAGATATGGAACTCATGAGCTTGTTAAATTTCTCTGACGCGCTACGATAAACAGATTATTAGAATCTTTGCTATTTCTTTGTGTTTCCGGCAATTTCAAAATGGCGAGTGAAGATGGTTTGTCGACGAACAAAGATAACTTTTCAGAAAATATACAGCGTGATGTGGGTTTTTATGTTATTTTTTAAAATAGATGATTCTTTTTTAATGTAATTGTAATGATATTTTTATTTTTGAGAACCATTCGCCTCGTACTTACGCATCAAATTTTTTTTAAAATGGCGGTCATTGCAATGAGTGCTGATTGTTGGCGGAACTTCGCGCGGCGAGCACGTTTAGCTAATCGGCAAATTCTTATGTCGGTACTGGGAAATTCCATTCGAAAAGATTACCAGTTGATTGACCAAACCAAACATTTTGTAATAAAAAAGAAATTCTTGCAATCATTTTTATTTGTTATTCATGTCAAATATTTTAAAAGTGGCTCGCGTTCATTATTTTTAAAATAAAATGCTAATCTATTTCATTATTAAAATAAATCAAGATCAATCAATCAACAAAATCAAATTAATTTTTATAGTTATTAAATTCATGAACTAATGAAAAATAGTTTTGGCTTGCATTCATGAATTATAAATTTTTTAACACTGAAATATGAATTAAATAAATTTTTTATTTACAAATAAATAACATTTTAAAAAGATGAGAAATTAAAAACTGCACTTTAAATATTCAATATTTTGCTCGACAAGAAGAAATTAAAAATTATGTTTTTAAATAATCTTCGTTTAGCATCCAGAGACCCAGTTCTCCTGAGGTAGGACGTTGTTTTCTTTGCCATCAATTTTTTGCACCAAATTAGGCGATTAGTTGTTTTGTGATGGCATAGAATAATTTTGGGGAAATTTTTTACATCCGGATACCCATTCTGACGACAACCACTAGTTATAAGTAGCGGGTCTAGCCTTTTGCTCAAAAGCATGCAAGGCGGCGTGGATGCAGTTTTATGTCATGCTCAGGACTGCTTTTAAATAAGATTTATTTATTATGTTACAACAAAACAAGAACGTGGAAGAGCTAAATATACATAAATTTGTTTTAACTCTTTGTTTATAATTTTTTGGATTACCCTATACTTTGCCAATCAAAGATTTTGATTATCTTATCCTTATTTAATTATATTGATATTTAATATGTTGATTTTTTTAGCAGAATAATTTGAAAACTGGAGAAGAGCTTAGTGGATTAAAACGATCTTTTGAAGGAAATTCAGGTTCATTGTTTTGGAAAAAAATATTTCTGATTATGAATTATCAACATCAATCGTCGTTATCGTTTCACTTTATTTTTAATAAACAGCATCAGTAAACTTTTGTAATGTCAGAAAAGTTTATGGAAGTTGTAAGTGTTGTATTGGGGCCAAAAAATTTCGGTCTAAAATTGCCACCAGTTTAGTGCTTATGCCATCCAGTCGACATCATTGTTAAATATTTGTCTGACTTGTTCAAACGGTTGCCAGTGATTTCACTATTACATGTATGAATGACCAATGACTGGTTGACCAGTATTAAAATGTCATTTATTATATCTTTTCCCCATTTATTATATTTCAGAATATCAGCCAGAAACTAAAAAGATAGCTATGTCAGCTGATAGTAAGTTTTTTATCATTTCTTTATCATGTATTGTTTGTATTTTATTAGCTTAATTATTTATAATTGTTTTTGTAATTATATTATTTATAATTATTTATAAATTGTTTACAATCTAAGTTATAACTGTTTTATCCTATCTACATTTCAAATATTTATTTACTCATTATTTTAATTTTAATTCACCAGGTAACAATGTGGACATGAGGTTGGAGACTTTGTAACATCTTTCATATATAATGTTTTCATTTATATTATTGTGCAAATGATTTCTTATGCTGCCATCATCATGTTTCTGATTGATTTAATTTTTAAAGTTTAAGAATAGGGCTGTTACAAAAATTATAATGTACATTAAGGGTAACATTTTTGTCAAATTATTTTGTAGGAAGCCAGCCAAAGTACCGATATTGCACCAGCCACAGATGCAACCACAGCAGCCACCACAGATGCCACCGCAACAACATCCAGGGCAGCTACAACAACAACCACAGATGCCCATGATGGGCAATCCAAATTCTGCGCCACAAGGATTCGTCACTGAACATATACTCGTACCTGACAGGATGGTTGGATTGTGTTAGTAATCATCTCTTGTTTTTTTTTTTCATTCCGTTGATTATTTATTTTTATATTTTATGCTGATTTTTAAAGATTTTTAAAAAAATTTGACTGCATCACTGACTGCTTTTCATAACATATACTAACATGGCATACTAAATATGGTTACTTTAGATTTCAATGTGGATTACTTTATCAATATTTGTTGATGGTTAAAATTCACCAAAAGTATCAATCAATCAATTGATTGATTGATACTTTTTTGATTTAATACTTTTACTTTTGATTGATTGAAAAGTATGTCCACCTATTTTTTTGTAATGCCCTGTTTCTTTACAGTAATTGGCAAAGGCGGTGAACAAATAACGAGTATACAGAATGAGTGTCAATGCAAAGTACAATTTGCTCCTGGTTAGCTGATTGATTGTTTGGTTAATTACCTTGTGCAGTGTAATACAGTGTATTTACATCCTATAACTTGTATATATAAAATACATGATATAACTTTTATATATATAAAATTACGTGTCATTACATTGCAGATGCCGGCGGTCCGCAAAGACAGTGCATGTTGTCTGGTCCTGCTGTCGGAGTAATGTGAGTAACTGATTGGAAATTTTTTTCTGAGGATTTTTATGCCCATACTTTGTGTGTTTGTTTGTATTTGCATGTGTATGTCCATGTTGTTTACGCGCAAGTATTTCATGTTTGGCAGCAGCAGCAGCAGCATTGGTTAGTTGTAATTATAACAACAGTGTTGGTCGTGAATTAATGATGTTTGGTCTTTGTTTTTCTGCTATGGTGTTTACTAACTAGATCTTGGTATGTGTTCTGCATTTCTGTTTATTCTTGTATGTTTATGCATCTTGTACGTTTATTCATCTTGTATACATGTGGTTATGAGGATAACATATCAAATCAATGATCAAAATGGTGATTGTATATTATACGCTATTCTGAACCACGTATTAAAGTGAATATATTTATCACCAAGTTTTTCAATCAATGACTTGTATTGTTACATAACATATGCAAATTAGTTTCGTGAGGTTTTCAATGTAGTAACATTGATTAGAGTTACAAATTGTACTGACAACTATTATGATTCTAATTAAATATTCTTGTTGTTTTAATGCACCTAAACTACATAAAATGTAAGTGATCAGTCTGTATGGCACCAACACTTTAAGTAGTTTAATTGATTACTCTTACTATGTTAAAGGAAAGCGAAGAAGATAATAGACGATGTGATACTAAAGAATCAATTGATATCATTGGGCGGCGACGAGGTTGCCCTGGAGATCATGATACCCGGAAACAAAGTTGGATTGATCATTGGCAAGAATGGAGATACTATTAAACAGCTGCAGGTTTGTATTGGTTGGTTGCATGATTCATTAAGAGTGGGTTAAGAGTTGTCTGCTTGATTGATTGGCAGATGGGTTTGTTTGTTGTTTCTAATGATTGGATTGGTGTATGATTTATCCATTCATTCGATTGATTGGTTGTTTAGTTGTTAGTTGATTCAAAACAGTAGCTAGTGTTTGTTCTCATTTGACAGATGTAAATGTAAAAACGCTACAATTAACACATAACACACGTATGAATGTACACAAACACACAAAACACAACAGGAGAGAAGCGGGGTAAAAGTAGCGGTCATACAGGACTCGACCCAGCCGTCCGATTATGAGAAGCCACTACGCATATCAGGCAACAAACTCGGCTGTCAGAAGGCCAGGGAGATGGTCATGGAACTGTTGAATGAACACGATAAGGTGATTGGTTGATTTGTTTTCTCTATATCTCAAGTCAGCTCTAGTTAATGATGTCGTGACCTGATAAAAATTAAGACAAATTTTGAAATGGTTGCCAAATTATTTGATAAAGTGGCTCCATCATCTTCAAGTGTTGATTGTTGATAATGTACTTGTGAATGGCTGGCAAAATATGGCTTGTCTGAATTTTGTAACCACGGTATTAATGAAATTATTCTAAAAGAATAAGATGTCAACTTTTTGTAATTCCAAGTCAATCAAGACTTTTACTTTCATTTGGCTACACAAACACACACACATGTGTGTGTGTGTATAAGTATATATATATTATTTTTATTGTACGAATATTATTTTTTAAAATATAAACACGTGAACTTTCAGCAGAATGCTGGGAATACCAGGCCAGGAGGCATGGGTGGAGCCATGGGAGGCGGTGCTGGCGGCTACCATGGTGGTGCTGGTGGCTCCAAGCACAACATTGAGGTTTGTTTGTTTATTTCAATTTCTTCACTCTCACACTCATTGTGTAATTCGTTTAAATTGCATTAGAGTTAATGGGATTAATTTAATTACTTCTGGTAGAAGTAAATGGACTGCATTTAAGTTTGAAAAGTGTAATGTATATACTTACTCTATTAGTTTTTTATCTTCTTTTAATTTAAGTGAGATTTATAGTGCTAAATTAATGCCCTGGGTAATTGGATAATTAGAAAGTAATGATTTCCTTTCATCCTGCGTTAACTGACACTCCCAGATTCCGGTTCCTCGTGGTCTTGTTGGAATTGTCATCGGGAAGGGTGGTGAAATGATCAAGAAAATACAAGAAGAATCTGGGGCCAAGGTAAGTGTGAAGTTTGTTTCTGTGTGTGTGTTTTTATGCGCGTGTGTGTGGGGTGACAAAAATGTTTAACAATTGAGTTACTGATTATTAAAATTGCAGTAATTAGGTGATGATGTATTGACATGGAGAAATTAGAAGTCATCATCATCTTTGTGGTTGTTGCTGTATCTGTTGATAATTTCATGATGGTTTCTGTTTACACAGGTTCAATTCCGACCGGACGACATAGATGACAATGGTCCAAACAGGATATGCCATGTGTATGGGCATAAGCAGAGCAATGACATTGCTGTCAACCTCATACACGATCTCATCAAAACTGGGATGGTATGTTGTTTGTGTGAATATTCATGCTGAATATTGTGAGTGTGTGTGTGTGTGTCGGGTGGTGATGTTTTTAACATTCAAAAAATCTAAAGTGATTTCTCCATTTTGGATATTCTTAATTTTACAGAATCGTCAGAATGGAGGTGGCATGGGTGGTGGAGGGGGCGGCGTTCCCTTTGCAACCCCCTTTGGAAATGCACCATTCCCAAATGGCATGATACATCCGATACCGACTGACAAGTGTGGATTGGTCATTGGAAAAGGTTGGCCACAATTATTTGTATTGTGACTGTTTTACCCTGGACCAACTGTATTAATTTTAAAGCAGTATTTTATATATTTTCTAACCCTATTTTTAAATCAGTGCTTTGAAAATGAGAATTGCACATAGCACAAATCACAACTGCACATTTATGGTGTACACACATGCATTTATACATTCATGAATCCTTAATTTTATCCATGAATACATAATAACATACAAACATACATCGCACATCAATAGGTGGCGAGAACATTAAAGAGATCAATCGCATCTCCGGAGCTCACGCGGAACTGGTTCGTGATCAGAACAACGCAAACGCCGACCCCAACACGAAGAGGTTCAGAATACAGGGAACACCGGAGCAGGTACAGCACTGCATTCAGCTGATCAACGAGAAGGCAGGACTAGTAACAGGGGTTGGTTCCGTTTTTTGTCCCTTTCTCTCAACTCCTTTTTCTCATCTCTACTGTTCATTTTGTTGATTGGTTATTATGTTTTTTAATTTGTGTTTCTTATTCATTTTTTTGTTATTTATTGTTTATCAGTTTTTTATTATTATTAATTGGTCTGAGGATTTCTATTTGAGTGTAGTAGTGAGGTAGTTGTAGTAATCTTCTTGTTAATGTTTATAATTATAATTATAAAGTGGTGAAATGATGACAATAATGATGATGGTGATGAGGATAAAACATGAGAACTTAAATGATCCCATGTGATTGTATATTATACGCTATACTGAACCAATCACATTATGTGCTCATTATGACTTTTGTCACCTTTAATTTTTAATTTTATCTTGGTGTCTGTAGTATATCATTATATTATGTTATATGTGACGTTGTTATTGCAATGGTTGAAAAATCTTCTTGAATATCTTTACATGTGTTTATAAATAATGTATGTAAAATTTATTCGTATAGCCTCCGATGGTTGGTGGACCAGTGTTTGGTGGATTGCAGGGTGGACCTCCTATGATGTCTCCCTATGCCCCTCTGAAGTATTTATTTATTTGTGTGTGTGCGTATTGTTTGTGCATTCGTGCATTTGTAAATGTATACCTGTTAGATTATAATATAAAATTATATCCTGCATGTTTATTTATTGTTGATCTCAGACAGATGATGGCTGTTCTAATGTCACTAGTGACATGTATGGTTTTGCATTATAATATTAATGCAGTCTGTACAACGTGATCATAACTAAATGTCGCTATACTGAGTCTGAGTTATTGTTTAGTTTATCCAAAATGATTCAGTGGTAAATATGTTTGATTGGATTGGGTAACTGCAGCTTAAATGTCTTACATTGAGATAAAATCATGTTTATTGTATCATTGGAATGATTGTTATTGCAATGAACTGTCAAACAACCTGATCGTAGCAAAATGTTGCTACACTCAGTCTGTGTCTCTTTAGCCATGAAGTCTTTACTTTTATCGCTGGTAATTATCATTAATAATTGCTAATGACAATTAGTGGGAATTCGTTGTTGATAAAAGATGCTTTTCTGTTTAGAAATGCATGTCTATCCAAATGTATGTAATATATGAATCTCTGTTAAAAATTAAGGTGTGTCTAAATCATGTCGTGATGCTGTGTGTTTGTTGTGGTCACGCACTCTCGGACATGATGAATGGTGTTCGTATATTCATGTATCACAGACGAATGATGATTTTTCCTAAGCCACTTGTGATGTGTACTGGTGCTATTATAATTATACACCAGTACATTTTGATCATAACAAATGTCGCTATACTGAGTCTGTGTTAAGCAATTAAAATATATCTACCTACTTTTTAACTATATATTTATGCATCTATTTAACTATCTATCTATATATATATGCGTAATTAACTTTTACAAATTATTTTAACAAAACCTCGGTGATAGCAAGCATGCAACTGACAAACAACACACAAATGGACAATCAAACAGTATGCAGGGTCCACCAGGTGCGTTAGTAGCTCCGTTCCCAGCTCAAGCACAAGTTCTCGTGCCCAACCAACCCATGTACAACGCTCCAGTGCCACAGGCACAGTATGTCAGTGCTGCACCAGCTCAGCCTGCCGGTGCGACCTATGCCCAACAGCCCACACCACTAGCCCCTGCAGGGGCTGCCGGTGCTGTACCCTATGGACAGCAGCAGCCTCAGCAACCACCTCAGCAACAACAGCAGCCTGCTGCTGTTTATGTGGATCCTAGTAAGTTTACAACTGTGTCTATGTTGAATATGTTGATTTATTATATGATTTATTATATTGTTATGTTATATTGATGTTCTGCTTTGTATTCTATATCACCTTCGATGTGTTGTCTATTATTTTTATAAATGCTATGTGTTTACTTTTGTAATATACATGATTAGCATAGTAGTAACTTATTTGACTTGAATGCAAATTAGTCACTTTGAATTATCTAAATACTTTTGTGGCTTGTATGTAGTTTTGTATTTCACAACCTTTATTTATTTAAATGTTGCTTGTGTGTGGGAGTGACATTATTCAATGAGAACCCTTTTTTTAATCAACAAACAGCAAAGGGAGCTGATCCAAATGCAGCAGCTTGGGCAGCTTACTACGCTCAGTTGTACGGTGGTCAGCAACCGGCCAGCATCCAGCCAGCTGCTGGTCAGCAAGCTACTGTACCGCAAGTGCAGGCCATCCAAGCAGCCCCAGCTGTGCAGGGGGGGCATACTCAAGTGGCATACGCTACAACACAAGTTCTAGCTGCTGCAGCTCCTGTTCCTGCTGCTGCTCAGCCACAACCAAGTGAGTGTCTATTAGGAAGCTCAGCGAGTTTGTGTGTGTGTGTGTGTGAGAGAGAGAGAGAGAGAGAAAGAAATTTATGTTGTATAAAAATAATGTAGTTTTTAGATTTAAGGTAAAATTATTAGTTTTTTTACAAGGATTATTTGAATGCCTGCAGTGTTTATACATATTACGTTATTAGGAGGTGAAGGTTGCCTAATTTTACCCATATAATTGTTCTTCATCGACAGCTATCAACCCCCAAACTGGACAGCCAGACTACAGCCTGGCTTGGGCAGAGTACTACAGAGCACAAGGTCTGCACCATCAGGCAGCTGCTGTCATGCAAGCTGCTGGTATGCCACAAGGGCAGTAACCACCATGTCTTTGGTTAGTTCATGTTCTAAATCTCTATGTGTGAGTGTGTGTGTGTGTGATTGTGTCTGTCTGCATCTGTCTATGTTGTGTTTGTGTGTGGATTGGCCAGATTTTCTTTGCTGTGGCACGCTTGTGGCCTTGGTGGTTCACTTGAACATGGTTTACATAAATATATATTTAGGTTTTGGCAATATGGTAATTAAGGATTAGTGGGATTGTGGTAATAATCTGCCTGTGGTTAATTTAATTCATATTAAATGTTCAAATTGATGAATTTAGAAAATTCATTAAACTAAGGAGAGGAGGCCTAAATGTATTTAAATAAAATGCTCATTCACAGATTAGATTTCTTCTTGCTTGCTAATAAACTGGAAAAATAAATTCACAAAAACTGGAAAAATAAATTCACAAATAAAAGCAGGCACATTTCACATTCCCTGATCTCTATCTAATATAATTTGTCATGTTAAGTATATATTTATTCTTGTTTGCATATATAGTTATTTTTATCTCTAGGAATTGAACTGACACTAGCTTCATTTCTGATTAAAGCCTCACTTTTGTGAGAGATCTATTTGCCTTCCTGGCTAACTAAATACCTTTTTATTGTATTTTTATCGTGATGTGATGCAAGTTTAATAGATCTATATTTTTATTTGCAAGTGACAGTTTCTAGTTAGGAAAATTTATGAGAAAAAGTTGTTTTGGGATATTTATTTATTAATTTGATATAATCCTTATTTAATGGCTGTAATTGATTAACGTCTGCCACTGGTTTATATCAATTAGGATTATTTACTAAGGCCTTTATTTTATTATGTTACTGATTTTGGCAGGATGTAATTGCTATCAGTGAATTAACATCTTGTTTTAAGTTCCAAAAAATCATGAACTTGAAATCAACCTTGAAATATCGTGCTATATATGTGCTTAGGAAAGTTATTGATATCTGTATTAGTCAATTTTAACGCTGTTTAATTTTAATATATCAGTAGTTTGCCGCCAGATTTGAACGTTTTAATATAGATTGACGGATATTTTTGTTCTAGTACAATACACATGCTTGCATGTATGTATGTAAGTTGGATTTATTTACCGGTGCTACAAATGTTCAGTTTTAAACATCTTGAGTCTTTCATATGCTTCTCTTGTTCGTTGTTTTGGATTTTGGACTTAACATTTGTCCTGCATAATTTTTTAAATTGAATATTTTTCCTTTCAATATTTGTTGGTCTGTATTGGCCTTGCTTCTAAGTTTTAAAGAAATTGTCCATATTGACTTTTACTCTTTGGTACTTTATTTTTTGTCTTCTTTACAAGTGCCTTTGAACATTTTTTTTCATATTGTTTTTTTTTTATTTAAAAAAAAATTATGTACGAAAAAAATCTTTGTTTTCGTCCCTAAATTTTAAAATATACAATTATAACATTGGAATGAACAAACTAATCTAACAACGGAGGTCACAATGGCCCGGGTTGCTGCATTGTAAGGTCAAAAAGTTAAACCGTTTACATGGGTCAAATTTTGATGGTGTGCTTTGATGTGGAATGATTGTGTTGCAGTTTGGGAGAACCTGGAGTCGTTAGGCACATTGTGGATTCATTACCACAATAATTTGATTTTTATATTTAAATTGTTTTTTTAAAATATGAATTTGATTTATAATTTTTATTCAATTTATTCATAATAATAATTTATTTTGTTTTGCCAATTGAATTTTCTACAGAATTCTTAGTGATATTGTTTCTGAATTTGGATTATTGGGTGATTTTTCCTTACAATTTACCTTCAGTCATTCTATCGCTGACCATATGTCCTGTTGGAATTATGTTAATAATGATAGAAGATGATACATGGATATGATTAATGTTAAATAATTGTTATTAATGAAAGTTTTACTGGTATGAACATGTGACTATTCTTGCACGGAAGAACTACGATTCATAGATGATAACATGCTGTATACTTTGAATTTTTAGAAGTTAAATAATGGATTTTTATTTATTCGAATAAAATGATTCTTTTTCTCCATTTTATTGCAAATAAAAACTGGAGACCTCCTCGATGTTTTTATTGTACATTTCATTGCTTAGTGTTCATGCATTCCGGGTAATTTATTTTTCTCTAATATTTTTAAATGAATTTATTTAGGAAATATGGCATTTGATGCCAGCTAGTAGTGCCATGTCGTTTATAACATCTTTTTGTTTACAATACCACTGTTCCGTTTCGTTTGTTTTTATATTATTTAATTTTATAAAACAGGCTTGTAACTTACGCGCCACTTAGGATTTTCATGTTTAGCTATTTTAATGTTGTAAGACCGAGCCGATGAACTTTATTCAATGTAAATAGCTCAATGCTGTTTAACAGCGTTTAATTTATTAAACTCATCTGTTTCAATGTGCGAATATGGTTGGTTCACTGTTAGTCATTTAAGGTATGGGTACCTGATGATAGACGCTTGGGTTTGTGTAATCTCAGTTTAATACGTGTGAATAATAAAATTGTGTACACTGCACGCAATCTATTTTTATTTGTAATGTTTTCTGCCAGCTATCTGCAACTTGCCGAACACGGTGAACGGCTAATTCGCAAACTTGTTAACTTGAAATAACTTCACCAGCTAATGTTTAATTGAATGTTTATCAGCAGAAATGGGAAGAGAAGAATGTAGGATCCCGTCGCTTTCAATTCAACCGTGATGGAGGGTAGATTCGAATCGTGATTTAGTTTTCTGCGATGTTTTCGAGCACAACTCGACGAACAATGGATCGATTTTCTCGCTTCTGCGCTTAAATATAATTTCTCATGCGTCCAACTGGGTTCTGTCGTCTGGTGCACGGTGCTTGTAAATAAAGGCTGCCTGCGTGTCTATTCGTTTTACGACCATTGAAACGATGTTGTTAGGGCTTATATGGGAAGCAAGTAAATATTTAGCGGGCGACGAAATACCATTAAACAATTCCGTCGGTACGACGACCAACAGTTCTGCATTTTAAACAGTCTGCTTTCAGCGACTTGTGTTTTGTTTGCGAGTATGTTTTTCAATTCGACGTTTTAATTTAGCGTCGAACCGGTCGGTCAAAATGGATGTAGTGCATTGGTTTGGAATGTGCGCGGGTTGCGCTAGGTTTTCCAAAACATGCTTAGTAAATATTTTTCTCTGGATTAGCATGGCGTATTTTTCTATGTTCCGCTTAGTATGCAGAGAGATGAATAGGAATTGATAGTACGCACCGATGATCTGAAAACGTATAACCGTGCGTATGTCTGCTTACGGGTGTGTGTATAAGCGCGACGAACAATAAATTCGCTCAATAATGCTTGCTGGACAGGAATAATATCGTTGAAATCCGTGGGGTGTGTATGCTCAAATCATCGAAGGACATGAGAATATTCAGTTGCTCGTTTTGCGTGTGTGTACGTGTTGTTCTGTGTACGTATGCGTGTTTATTTATTTGTGTGCGTGGGTGTACGTTGGTTTATGTGGACCCGTGTGTGAAGTGTTGAATTATATTAACGATAGCACGTGTTTGCGTCAAACAAGCTTTTATATTTTGCCGAGAATTCATTTTATTCTCAAAGTGGCAATAAAGAGAAAGAGAAGTGTTCGTATGGGCATGAAATTTTCTCTTGGCATCTAACTGCGGTCAGCTGTGTGTACGAGGATGATGGGTACTCCGTCTGAAAACTGTAAACATCTAATATACATTGATTTGTATTTTGCTTGTTCAGTTGATTGTCATTTATATTCACGCGTCCTTCCGTACTTCTTATGGTATTTTGCGCATTGACCATGCTTTTGTTGATTATATTTGAAATTTAAGGTGAAAAATTTTTAAGAATAGTTTTTAATGTATATTTTTGTACACATTTACAAGTTTGCCAAATCTTTAGTTCAAAAAATAAAACTTAAGAAGCATTTTTTAACGAATACTCCAATGCCCTTAAGCAAATTGTTTGGTTCGTAGTTAATTTGAGAATAGGTATAATTGTAAACTGGCAAAGATTTTCGCCAAAGACATAATATTTACGGATATCGTTAACTTAAAAGTATTGCAATGAATAAGATGAGAAAATTAAAGAGATATTTTATAATAAGAATTTATTGGCAGCCACAGTAGCAATCTGGCGCGATAGAACTAAGCAGTGCTGATGAACATACGTACAAACACATTGAAAAAATGAACGTCACTAGAAAATAATGCATCCAATCTCCAATTCCATCGAATCCAAAATAAAGAAATATCGCAATTTAGACTTTCCTACATTAATTTTATTATCTTATTAGTTCTTAAATTGAAAGTTATATGTTTTATTAAATAGGATGCATTCCCTTATTCTAATTTATTGCCTTTCACCGGTTAAGTCCATTTTTTCGTGACAAGATATACCGTGAAATTTTTGGCCTTCTCGTCTCGCTACGGACATAATGAACAAAAATTTGGTGACAGCAAAATGTGAACCATGCGTACTCGGACACCAACATGTTAATATTTAATGACCACCTGCGATGCATTTAAGTTTTAATAAACAGAATATGGTTAATGTTTTCTTGTTTTTAGGACTTCGTCGTTTATCATTGAAGCCGTTAACTCTTTATATACACTGAAGACTTCTTTTAGTTTTTATTCATCGTCGTCTTTAAAAATTTGACACAAATTAATTAAGAAATTTTTTAAATTTACCAACGCATACATTAAGTCAAAAAATTCATATTTTACTTTTTAGATTCGCATAATTTTTTTTTATGAAATGACGATGATTAACGAAGCTGTAGGTAATAGTTGTATTATTCACCAGATCATACTACGTTGTTGACATTGGATACCTCACATCGGTCTATCCGATAATTATTTCGAGTTTATTCACACTGTTGTTGTCACATTTTAATCTCCGGTCAACGTGAAATTTTAATCTCTTGACTCAGACGAGATCTGCGTTTTACATGAAGTTTTTCCGAGAAATGCACTGATGGCGCTGATACATCAAACCACACATCACATATATCACGTCACATCACACCGTTGACATTTATGTTAATCAGAATACTCATTCATTATTTGAAACGTATCAATTGTTGAATGTATTTGTTAAAAATCTGAAACATTTCCTCTCAATGGTGCCACTCTAGATGCATTTTTCATGAATGCCGTTGTGGCCTGTGACGGTAATGGAATTATTTTTTTTAATTTAAAAATTTATGATCTTTTATGTTCATTTGGTTTGAAAAATAATAAATTAGAATATAAATTATTTTACACAGAATCTTTAATACTGTCTTATTTCGTAGTCTGGTGGGGGTATGTTCTCACTTCTTCTTAACTCGTATTAAACACCCTTTTGCTAAATCTGCATTTGCTTTTTCTGGCGCTTTTCTCTGGAACTCTCTATTTCTTTTTCTGACTATTTCTCCATCACTTACGAAGTTCAGAGCGGATCTCAAGACCCATCTGTTTGCAAAAGTCATTGAGGAGCGCTGATGAACATCGCGAAAATAGCGCTTTATAAACTAATTAATTGGTTGATTGAATTCAATTTTTGTTTAAATTTTGTCTATAACGTTCTGATGTAAATATTGAATGAGACGACGATACAGAAAAGCCTTTTTTGCAATTTCAGTCTAATTTTCAATAAGAAAATAATGAATTTAGCACTTAAATTAATTGATAGTGAACACATAGGACTAAAATTATTATATTTGATTTCAAACCAAATATACTTAAAGTCTTATTATATAATTTACCAAAATTGTCTGAAGATGATAAGAAGGGGCTAACTTTTTTTCATTTAAATGCAGTAGGCAGGCGACTCGAAGCCACACAAAAAAAATTCATTTTAATTTAACTCTCATGTTAAAAAATTTGTTTTATTCACTTTGGAAATTATTAATTTCAATAAAAAAAACTAAAATATTTCTAAAATACGCTTATATTTGGACAATAATTTGTTGAAAAAATTCTTTTTCTATTTTCAATTCACCAGAAATATACTAGAAACGACTTCTCAGACGTCATTAGCTAATGCTAACGCACAAGCATAACAATAGGACCAGAAAATTTTAAATTTTAATTTAACGTTCTTTCGAATGCAATCCGTGATAAATTGACGTTGGATTCTATTCTTGGCATGTGTTTTTGTATTATTTTGGTCTATAATTTCTTAGAATTTTTCAAAATTCAGACGAAATTTATAAAATTCTGATAAAGATTCACGACATAACGCCATCTTTAAAATGAAAATACTTTAAATAATTGTAGTACGCCTAAAATTCGAAAGATTTAGGTCAACAACGACAAAAATTTGTTTTTTAAACTTTTCGTATAAATTTTTGTATGAATTCTGCTAAATAAGACACACGATCAGAATATTTCAATGTCTACATGACGCTGTTTGTCAGCATGGAATTAACTACGGAATGACATTTAAGTTGCTCACTTTCTCACAACATTTTCTGGCTAAATCACCAGAAGTTACAATTTTTTCAACTTGACGCTTACTGAAAATTTTTATATATTTCAATATTGTCAAACCATGTAAATACTTGCGACGAAGTGTTGTGAGTTTAATTTTTATTATCCTTGGTCTAATTTCAATGAAGATGCATTAACAAATTTTGACATAAAGCCACACGTTTCGATAGATCTAAATTATAGTTGGACGACGCAATTGCGTGATGAGCAAGTCGTCAGAAACATCTTTTGCAGTTACTGGGATCAAATGCAAATGGACCGCATGCAATCTACGTGCATCATGCTCGTAGATGCATCATTCATGTGTGTTATGAGTTTGTTGTGAAACCTCTGAGAATTACCAAAAAGATAATTGCAAAAACTAGTAAAGAGAAATGCTTCCATCAAGAAACGAGATGGAAAATATGCGTTTTTGAGCATCTGACTGACAGCCAGCCGACTACACGATGATTGTGACGGAACGATGACGTCATAAACATTACAACTGCAACATGGGAGTGCCAACTAATTGTCGGAGTGATGAAAGTGCATGTTGTTCATTGGAGCCAATTTGCTGACAAATACATACGCATGTATGCTCTACTCTGCACGATTGCGGGTTTCAAAGTTAACCGATGATTGTATTGTATGTGAGTGTTGGTGTGTGTATTTTTGCGTGTGTATGTATGTGTGTGTGAGAGTTGTGTGTTTGAGTGTGTGAGTGAAATTTTATTTTTTAATGTATGTATGTATGTATATTTGCTTGTATGCATATATGAACGTGTGTGCATATGTACGTATGTAGGCCTATGTTTGTGGAGTGTGTTTGTTTTTATGTCTGCAAGCGCTCTCGACATGCTCTTCATAATATTAACATCACTCTACAAACACGCAGTCCCTCGCCCGGACGTGTTATTTAGTGTCTTCGGTAAGCCGCCATTTTTAATATTTTGGTGTTTTTTGATCCTTGCGATGTGGGATTTTTTTTCGTTGTTTGTGTTGTCTACGGATTTTTTCATCTTTGTTTGTATAGCGATAAAAAGTTAGTTTCTTTCGTTATTTTTTTTTATCTTTGGTATGTATAAGAGTGAACATGAGCAAGTGGATTTTGTTTGCAGTTTGCTAATGTTTTGTATCTCGTTGTTGTTGTTGTTGTTGATGTTGTTGATGTTGATGTTGTGGTTGTTGATGTTGTTGATGATGTGGTTGTTGATGTTGACGTTGTTGTTGATGTTTTTGGATGTGTTTTTGTTTGTTGTTGTTGACGATGTCGTTTCAAATACAAATACAGATTGTTTGTGTACTTAAAACACATACACACACACATATATATATATATATATAAGTGTGTTTGTGCGTGTGTTTGTATATGTTTGTATGAAGAAATTATTTAATAAAAAAATATGAAGACTCTCGCTCAGTAAACAAGGCAAAAATATATTGGCGTTCATCATTATCTATGTTTCTTTTGGCGTGTTTGTATCATTTGTACTTAAGTGCGTGTGTATGTACGTGTTTGTGCATGCATGTATGTGTGCATGTGTGTATGCGTGTATGTTGTGTATATACGTGACGCGTATGTTTTACTTCCATTTGTGTACCATTTGGTATGTCAGAATATATATATATATATATATATATATATTTATGTATGTATGTCTGTGTATGTTTGTGTGTGTGTGTATATATATGTATGTATAAATGTATGTGTGTGTGTGTGTGTGTTGTATGTATGTAAGTATGTATGCATATGTATGCGTGTGTTGTATGTACGTATGCATGTTTGTGTGTGAGTATATATATGTGTGTGTGTGAATTATATGTGTGTGTGTGTGTGTATGTATATTAGTATGTATGTATGTATATGTATGCGTGTGTTGTATGTACGTATGCATGTTTGCGTGTGAGTATATATATATGTGTGTGTGTGATGTATATGTGTGTGTGTGTGTATGTATGGTACGTGAGTGTGTTTGTTTTTAATATTCTATGTTTAGATTTTTCCTACATCCCTTCTCTCAAATAACACGAACAAATATTTGCTGAGCTAGTAATTTCGCCAACAAATACTGATGCAAGAGGAGATGTGTGGTAGGACTTGAGTAGCTTTTTCAGTAAAAGTGGCGGTAGTAGTAAGATCAGCTGCTGCATTTGCAGCAGAAGTAGTAATATTAATAGTTGCTGTACTAGTAGCTGTAGTAGCAGCAGTAATATTAGCGGTTGTGGTAGTTAGCAGTAATTGTAAGCTGTAAGAGTATTAGTAATAATAGAAGCTGTAGTAGTAGTGGTTATAGTAGTAGTGGTAGTAATAATAATATTAGATGTAGTAAAGGAAACAGTAGTAGTAGTAGTAATGGTAGTAGAAACAACAGCTGCAGCAGTTGTAGTAGTAGTAGTGGTAATAAGATTGTTACTGTTAATACATTTATAAGCGTCATCATTATAACATCGAAATTCAGTAAATAAAATAAATATTATCACTATTAAAAAATTGAAAATAAAATATGGGTCACATAAAGGTCATCATCGTCATCATCATAACAATCTCTCTGATGTCACATCATTTTCAACTTTAATGTATCAGGGTCGGTTGAGGAATGGATTCTTTACTGGTTTACATTTCCATTTTCACATTTTTATTTCCATATTTCCACCCCTACCACCACCCAGGCCCTGAAGAAAAGGTCACCAGGGTCACTTGCCATGGGCTACCAAAACGGATGGCCCTATAAAAATGGCGAGCAACGCCACTACTTCTACTGCTACTATAACTAATGCTGCTGTTGCTGCTACTACTACTGCTACAACTAAAAAACCACTACAACAACAACAACTTTTACTGCTGCTTCTACTATTACTATTTCTACAACTACCTACCTAATAATGCAACAAAAAATACTACTACGACGACGACTACTACAACTACTACTACTACTACTACTACTACTACTTAAATTGCTACTACTACTACTGCTGCTGCTACTACTACTACCAAAACTACAATACTAATTATAACGTAATATTAATAATAATAATAACAACAACAACAATAATAATAACAATTATAATAATAATATTAATGATGATATGAATGATGATGATAGTAATAATGATAATTTTATCTTTTTCTCCTTTTGTCTTTATCATCACCTACCAGCAAATGCCTCAGAGTTATGTCTACTTATATTGTCGTTTTATTCGACTCGGGTGACGATGGAAGTTAGTCTTAGAAATTGTTCTCAAAATGAAACGCACAAACGTACGCACACACACACGCACACACATACAAAAACACACACACACACACAAACACACAAATGAACTTTTACATGTTGAATAGATACTCACCAAAAATCCCCACACAATGCTTTCTTTTAACGCATAGCATGTGTGTAATTCATGTTTTTTGAAGCCAACAGAATTATATTTATACACTTGCTGGTTGTTATAAATCTTATACATTGCATTTCCATACTCACTATACTCTTTCTCTCTCTTTCTCTCTTTCTCTCTTCCTTTATGTTTCTGTCTTTCTCTTTCTGTCTTCTATTATGTCTCTTTGTTTCTTTCTTTTCCTCTCCCACATTTCTCTCTTTCTCTCTCTCACACACACATATACTCACACACACATACTCAAACACATACATACTCACACACACATAGACACACACACATACACACACAGACACACACATACAGTCAGTCCAACCTCTCGGAGACAATCAAGACATGAAAATGAAATTTATTTGTACGTCAATGGGTTCGCCCGGTTAAATATTGCCAATGCTGTAGCATGAAGCATTCATTCAACTACAACACTGTTAAACTGTACTGTTAAACGATCACACACTCCAACACACACACTATTATACACTCTCACACATTTCGAACCACACATACACACACACACACGCACACACACACACACACACACACTTATAAATATAAATGTTGGTAATAGACCATAATTTTTACAATATTCTATAAATTCTACCGAATA